CACATTTCTCGACAATGGGCATGCATACCGACTACAAAAGCTTTGTGATAGACAAACAAAACATCAAGTAACAGTAGTTACAAATAAAGAATTCAACAAACTCGTATTAAAATTACTATTCTGTTTTAAAGTCGATCTTTCCTACTGCCAATAATTGTAAGTTCTTTATAATGAATATTCAATTAAACACAGAAATCATTAAGCCCACGTTTATTCCAGGAAGGAAAAGCAATCGAATACGTCATATTATGACGTACTTCGCAAACACCGAAGTTTTGTTACGTATATATAATCATTTATAGAAAAACCTTGCTGAAAACTGTACATAGGAATGAAATGACAAACTCTGTCACCGATCAATGATTTCCTTGTAAATTGTTATAAATCAAATTCCTAAGCAAATCAAAAATAAACAAATAATCGTGGGCCCAAATCATACCTTGAGGTATGCCGTACCTAATGGCAAAGCAAATCCAACCTTAAACAATTTCAATAAGGTTGAAATTCTCTTGCAAAATGTATAACAAATTTAGTCAAAGGCACGACAAGAAACGGACTCTAACTTTTCGGCGATAAGGCTTCGAAACACGTGCGGGTACCAAAGCCGCAAAAACTCCTTAAGGTTCGCAACAAAAAGCTCCCCCCGGCCCGGCCACTACCTGCGTCCGCCCCTCCCCCAACATACCTACAAAGTTACGACGACTCTTTGGAAATACGTTTTTTGTGTTAAGTTTGAACAATTTCTAAGTACTTTGATTTCATATTTAGGTACAATTCATATTAATAAAATATTCTATCTTATTCGTTTAACATCTACTTATACAGAACTATATTTGTCGCCAGTGAGATACAAACATATAAACAGGGTGCGTACAGACATCGAACGATTTTTTTTTATCAAGAAAAAGCGTATAAGAGACGTGAAAACTAATAATAAACCTTGTTCTTATAGTATAAAGCTCAATCTTATTTGCGATAAAAATCTGTTCTTCTTTCTGCCCCAGTCTGTATGAAGGCAGTCTTAGTCAAATTGAACATAGGTAGTCAGAGATATTTTTTCACAATATTTTTTTTCACTGATTGGTATTTGTTAGGGTGACAGATGTTACATGTATAGACATAGAAGCGATCCTATTTCCTACTCAAAGCGAACTTCTAGGGATGCTACTGTACGCGGGTACATTTTTTCTGGTCTACCCACATAATAGAAAGCGACGTATCCGCTTGTCCTATGGGATTCGGGCTGATAATATACCATATGGCATGGGAATAGCGAGTTGGGCGACATAAAGAACAACAAAGCGCAACAGTCTTCTGTTTTTTTTGTCTTAATGTTTATTGATCCTTGGTGTAAACTGAAAACGGAAAAGAAAGTTTGTATATAAAAATAATTTTAACGAGTAAATTACGAGGCTTACAGATTTGAGATTTTGTTCGGAGAATTCTGTTACTAAGTGGGCAAATCCAAAATTGGGGGATAAAAGTTTGTTTATGTAATATTTTTGCAAACCATGCAAACATAGCCATGTGCTTCAGGTAGTATAGTATACAACACGATTTCGACAATAGGATCACGAGTGCTTCGTCTGGGACTCGAACGCCTGTAGAGTATAATTACACCTTTTGTTTCAACGAGGTAAGCAGTAAACGTGAAATGTTTTTACATCCGTATATAGCGTTTTGTGTGCATGTAATCATTTTTTACTTCAGTTTTGTTTAGTTTCAAAGTAAACCAGAAAGCTGCGTTACAATCATGTAAAAAACGGAGCAACATTACTCTTTGAAATCTCTTTCTAGTGGGTTATTAGAAGAAAAATGAGTATCAGAGAATCTTTGTATCCGTATTTTTCGTATCAACGTTAATATTTGATAAATAGTAAACCACATAATTAAAAATCAATTGTAAAATATCAAATCTTTAATATATCAAAAGCTTCTGTAGGGTACAGAAGCTTTTGATAATATATTTTTAATATTCCCAACAAATCATAGTATTAAAAAAATTGAATTTGTTTTCGTTTCTTAAGATTAAAAGTAGAAAATTCTAACAATAGTTCTACCAATTCCAAGACAAAGCTTTGCCCTACACATGAACGATAAAAATCACTAGTCGGGTCGAGAATGCGTAGCGAAAAAAACGCTAACTGGAGCCCTTGCCCCCACCCCCTCGCACGCCCCCGCAGTGTCGGTCGGTCGTCACCGGGGCGTTGAACCCGGGGCGCGGTACCTGCGCCGGCGCACGACCTTTTTTACGTCTACTACGGGCGGGCAGGCGTTCAGGCGAGCAGTCGAGCGGGCGGGCAGGACGTACCGGCAGACCGACGCCGGACTCGCATTTTTGTTGAACAAATATAAACGGAGCAAACAGGACGACGCAACAAAACGCTAGTGGGCTATGACTTGCCACAAACCTATACCAAAACATTGCTGTCTCATTATCTACAAAGGTAATGATAGAGATGAGTATAACGTTTTTGTAGATGTTTCGGCAGTGCAAACCGACAAAGAAACATTGAGTACAATTGCAATCACAAAGCTTGTAGATAATTTATTATACCATTACAAGGTTAGATCTTTAAGTTTAATAACTAGGAAAAAAATTATTTCTATTGCATGGAGCAACCATTATTAGTGTCCAAGGGTGTCTGATCAATTGATTTATGGTGATTTGTTGTTCATTTCTTTATTAAGGAAGAATTATTCAGGTAACACAAGAGTTATTTATGATCATTTCTGGTTAAACAATTTATCTCTAATAACTTTTTAACATAAGCTACTCTTATTTTACACTCACATTATCAAATAACTAGCTGTCGCCCACACAATATTAAAAAAAATATTAGTAGCCTATGTGTTCTTCCAGACTATGTTCTATATGTATGCCAATTTTGGAGATACCGTCTAAAAACATCTATCTATCCATCCATCTAAACATATGCATTTACAATATTAGTGAGATTTTCACAAAATAATGTGAAAAAGTTAAATATGATATGTGTATTGCTGTTTCTATATTTATTTAATTCAAACTTTAGATTGAAATGAGACATAGATGAAAGGATATGATATCAGTATCATCCTGCATACAATAATGAACAGCAATGACATAGAGGGGAAACCAATGTTCATGTTAGTGACATTTCCTCATAACATGACATTGTAATGACACAAATCATATACAGACTGTATATATGACATTATATTACCTATGACAATCTGGAGTTCTGAACCACAATTGAAAATAGACCAAGCTGAGCTACAACAAATTGCAATGGAAAATGAGTCAACGGGAAATATTCTTTGTTACTACAAGAACTAAATTCAAATTTATTTAACAAATACTTTGTCACTAAAAAACATTTAAACATTTTCAAAAAAATAGGTAATAAATAGCCTGAAAAGACTATTTTTTTGTCAGTCAGATAATAAATTTGTTTTCTAACCCTATACTAATATTATAAAGAGGAAAGGTTTGATTATTTGTTTGCTTCGGATAGGCTCAACTTCCGAAGGGTTTGAAAAATTCCTTTACTGTTGGGAAGCTACACTATCTTTGGATGATATAAGCTATATTTATTACTAGATTTTTTAATTCTACACAGACAAAATGGTGAGCAACTGCTATAAAGATGCCATGCATTTTAAATTGTAATTAATTTTTGAATAAAAATTATTTATCTTATATGACAAATATCTATAAAAGTAATATCTGTTCAGTAATAAACATAAATTAAAATAAAATGCAAGTGAGTCAGTATGACTGTATGACCTACTGACACTCTTTAGTTAACTTGATGTAACAAATCTCCGAGGCCATGACACCTTGTTACAGATGCAAAATTTATTTACATCTTGAATGCCACACTTTCACAACTTTATAAATATTAAATTTGTGTAAAACAACTTTATTTAAACAAATAACCAAAACACACCTATAACATTGTGGTAGGCAGAGAACATGGACATACATACATCTACTTGCAACTTTATTATATGCTTAATTTACTTAATCATTACTCGTGTGGCATATTTTAAGTATTTGGAAAGAGGGTAGATATAAAATCATAGATAGTTTATAAAGACTTAGTGATGCACACATAAACACTATTAAGAGGAATAGCTAAATTCATAATTTTATCATCACTGCCTCCTTGATCATGTCACCTGTCCATGACATAACCTCTATGCTATAGCTATAAGTAGCTTCCGACTATTAGTTCTTGTGAATATCAACTTTTAACAAATTAAGCCACATAATGTTATTACAAAAATGAGATTTCTTCTAGAATCTAACAGAATGCAAATATGCATGACATAGAATGTTTTTAAAACAAGTTAGTAAATAAAAGTAGGTATATTACAAAGATTTGCAATAAATTTTCAATCTCATGAAGTGCCCAACAATTCAATATGGTTGTGCTTTAGGCCATGCTGCAATTGAAATTTGTTATGTAACAAACTGATTGCTTCACTTTAGCAACACTTCAGTAAGGTTTTTTAATCTTGTTATATAACCCCCACTCTAAATTCATCATAACCATTTCATGCCAAAATTATGTAAACCTTTATATACATGTGGCATTTTACTACATAAATACCATACATAACATATGATATGAATTTATGTATTTCCTGCATATTTTCAACATATTATTATCAACAGTAACATAAGCAGCACATACTATGTAACAAGATGCGAACTCTGTTCCTATATCGGTTTGTGCGAGTTATTGATAAACAAAATGTTAAGAGCTCTGGCGAGTGGCGACGACCTAGCCGACACTCGGACGACATAAGGTCGAATTTCGCGCGACCACCTCCCGCAGCCCCCCCGCTTGTCACGTGTAAGGAATACCATGAAAATTCTTTGTATAGCTGAGGCGAGAAAACGACACGCAACGCGCTCGAGAGAAGGGGCAAAGCACGTCGCCTGCGTGACCGAGCGCCTGTCACCGCACGGCAAGTAACGAACGGAAAGTGGCAATATGCGTCACCATTACCTGTAGTTCTGTTCGTAGTCCCAGTAGTCCTTGTAGCGCGGGTAGCAGCGCTGGCCTCCGCGCGGAAACGGCCTCCTGGAGCCCCCCTGACTCATGCTCGCTGCGCCATTTCGCCTCGTATCGATCCGAGCAGACACCACAGCGGCCTCTACCGCCTCACCACGACCACGCACAAATATACACAAGCACTACACTCCAACACTATATTCCGTAACGGGTAACTGTAAAACTTGGTGGTTTTAGGGCTACGGACCCACACTTATAATGTTTTGAAGGCGACTGACTCGGCGCGAAGTTCGCGCGGACTGACGGTGAGCGAGCGCCTACGTCACGGCCTGCCTGCGGCGCCCTCTGCGGGCGAGCGTTCGTGTCGCTTTCGAAAACGACCGCCAAATCACTTCAATATTTAATTATGATTATTTAATTGTTATCTAATTGCACTTGAAGACGGGACATTGAATAAATGCTGCACTACTTTTATAGCGAAGCCGTGGAACCTCCGATACCAAAGCACCTTGCATTAGGGATTAGGCCACGAAAGTATTGATTTTAGATTTAATATGAAGATTGCTTGTATTATAAAGTTATTTCTTAAGAATTCATAAAAAGAATCACGATAATGAGAAGGCGTCACCGCGCGCTTGAAATTGTTCGTCACATAATTAATGTGAATCAAGAGATAATTTCACTCTCGGTGTTACGCACTAGCGCACTGCTCCAGATCTACCCTGATACATCAAACATATGTCCACTGCTCTAACAAAACTACCGATCGTTTACACTATAAAACTTCTTGAAAACCATAAAATAATCGAATAAATGTATTAAAATGCTGCGCTCCGTCCGTTCCGCACAATACGTAAGCCTAATATAAAAAACTTAACACAACTCGTACCCATTGCTGTTTCCAACATCAAGTGCTTTACACCAGAGAGCCTGTTCGCAATCAAATAGTGAATCTAAATTTGACAGCGCTGCAGCGCTTCACTGACAATCAGCCCCACCCATTGTTATTATAATGCAGCCAACATGACGCATGTTTTATAACGTGAAGTTAGTTGAAATTTTCATGTCATCTATGTCTGTCTCTTTCTATTACGTGGAGAAAAGAAAGACAAAGCTATACGAGGGCGAGGGGATTCGGATTTGTTATTTATTGTTTAGTATTGGTATGGATGACGGCTGGCGGCGGCTGGCGCGGTTGCAATAGTTTGCGTTTTATTTGTATCTCGTCCCGCGATGAAACAACACCGTTATATCGCTTTCACTAAATACGTTTCGAGAGCTGGTTCCGAGCATAAACGAGCAGATAACATAACTGGAACTAGCAAGAACTTATCTCTTGACATATTGAGATAGTATGTTGATATTTCTGTTTGGTGTCAGTACAGTTGCAGTAATGAGATTGTTTATCAATGAATATTTGTACATTAAGTAAATCTAGATGGTTCTGAACATTATTACTAAAGTAAATTAATTAATAACACTCAGCATCATATATTAAAGAGTAATTATTTATTCTAGAATCAGCACTGTAGGCTAAAAGGACGTAGAAACTCTTCCAATAATGATAGAGAAAGAAAAGATTGAAATAAGAAGAATTATAAACAGACAACACCACTAGACTGGTGGGCATAAGTCAAATTCAGTTCAACTCAGTTGCGCCCCCCTTTTCAAACTCAAAAAGTGTCACAAGAACCTCTTTGTACTGTAGCTGTCATGTCATTTTCTTCTTTTATATCCAAGAAGTTTTTATATGTATTCTGGCAGAATCAACCGCGACAGCAGCGCCTCTCATACATTCAGATTTTTATTTGACTATAAGGTGTCGGCATCAGTTTCCCCGTCAGATTACATTGCCACAGCATATCACAAACTTCGAATAAGGTTTTAAAATTAGGAAATAAAAAAAACGTTGCATAATGATATATATATATAGTAATATTTAATATAAATGTGGACATCAGATGATATAACAATTAAAGTTACAGCTGATAGTCGCTGGGGTCGTACAGTTCAGACAACAAGCGGTACACGTACGAGGGTGAACTGCCTCCGCTATGAACAAACATACAACATTCATTATTTACATTGCTATACAAGTTAATACTCTTATAGTGGATTTCTGAAACATAAATTCCCTTTTAAAACATGTTATTAATGATGACAATATGTTTTGTACAGAGACGATAAGTGATATAAGTTGATATACTCACAGATTGGTGATGAAGAGAGTGATGTGGTTTGGTGGTATGAAGTCGTAGCGCGGCGCCACCACACGCGCCAGTGCACTCTCACTGCTCCTGTGCACAACACGGCTTTAGCGTGAGTTTACACTGACTGAATACGAACACGAAGGCTTACATAGTCCAAAATAAATATATAAAAATCGTACAGCGTTAACTCTTTTAATACCAGTGGACAAAGCAATTGCAACCTTTCTACTTTGTTGTAGATTTTTATGGCTCCTATGTAAATTATCAAACTCAAAAACTTTATACATTAATAAGATTCATTACGGAACAAACGGTAGACAACTAAAATCTACATTTCTTCTTCTTTTTAAAGTTTTTTTTTAAATTTATAGAGAAATGAGTATTATATAGATGTAATGCACTGACAGATAGGGCAGGGCGGAGTGCGCGGAGTCCGGCACGTTGAAGTGATGCTGCTCACACGCGTGCAGCGGCGACAGCTTGTACAGCGGCGCCAGCGCCAGCACCTGCCCACACACACATACACACACAGGCATCTTGTACTCTCACAGCGTTATGTATTATGTCTTGTATTCCACAGGGAATTTGACAGTTTTTTTTTATTTCTGGATGAGAGGATGCATGGAAAGGGAAAATATTTTCTTTCTGTGCATCCTCTTCTCCGTGGATTAAAGGTATGCAACGCATATACAATTGCGTATGTCTATGGGCAACGGTCACTTCGCTATTTTAGCGATTTCAGGTGACCGCTCGCTCGTTTGCCACCTTATGATATAAAAAAAAAGTATTCCACTTTAAAAGCGAGTAGTTTAAACGATTCCTTCACGTTGAGACTGCACAGAAATAATAACAAGTAGAACAGAGCTTTTATGTCTGTATGAAAAAAGTCAGATATACATTACGTATTGCGTTTTACTTACTGCTGTCTAATCGGTTATTTTCTTAAGAGGAGGGGAGTATTTAGCAAAGGACAAGGCAATTTATCTGTAAGTGTAACATTGCGAGATGCTCCAAGTGTACATGCAGTGGGTCAGTGGGTCAGTGGGTCAGTGGGTGAGTGAGGCGATGATGTGTACAGACCGGCACGCTGTAGTGGTGCGCCGCGAGTGTGACAGCGTGCGCGCCCGCACCACCCAGCGCCGCGCCCCCGCCCAGCGCCGCCCGCACGCACAGCACCACCTGCACACGCACACACATTAAACACATACCTAAATAAGGCTAAAAATAATAAAAAAAAACAGTTTTTAATGCACAGATTAAAATACAAGATTTAATACACCCATTTCTTATAAGGATATACAGAAAGGGTAATATTCTCTTACTCTGGGTCCCCTTCATCATCAAATGAAGGTAAGTAAGCAAGGCATCTGCAACTGCAGATGAGTATGGGTGACCGCTTGTTACTTACTCACCTTATAATATAAAAAAATTAAAATAAAGATTAAAAAATAAAAATATTTCATGCATTGTGTGAGCGTGTGGTGTGATACCTTGTTAACACGGGACATGAGCGCGGTGACGGCGGCCGCGCTGACCAGCGTCACGTTGACCCCCGCAGCGCTCAGCCGCGCCGCCATCGCGTGGCTCTATTTATAATGGTCAACATTTATTAACACTAAAATCGCTAATACTACTAGAAAAAAACAATAAACACAAATTTTTATATATCTATGACATTGAGGAGAATAATACGAATCAAATGACATCATCATCATACTCAGCCTAAACTTGTCCACTGCTGGACGTAGGCCTCCCCCATAGATTGTTACAATGCCCGGTCAAATGACATATTACATGTTAAATCTGAGCAGTAGTTTAAAATGTATGAGATCACAAACTGTCCACTGTACTGACAAATATATATTATAACAATACTAATAGACAAACTTATGATGAATAAATACAAACACCAGTTATATTACTAATCAAAAATAACTTCACAGCACTGGACACTGCATAGAACACAATATTAGATATAACAAAGCATAAAGGGTCCCAAGGGAGGTCTCAGTTGACCTTGAACTGCTTAAAAGATATAAACGGGCTATAAATTGTTTGGTAAATACCTCCTTAACATCAGAGCTCTCAGCGAGCAGCAGTCTGTACCGGCGCGGGGCGGCGGCGCGCAGGAAGCGCTCGGCGAGCCTGCTGGCGCCGTACGTCAGCACCAGCTCATCCGCGTGCACATGCTCGCGAGCTTGTCCGCACACCGACTGAGTGCTCGAGTCCAGCTCGCCTCGCAGCTGTACAATATTACATCAGGAACTCAATCTTCATAATGTTCAAACACTGAAGAGCTAGTATTATGTTATAGTAATTTACCTCAGCGATGAAGTCTCTGACGGGTTCAATGAGGTCCTTGTTGTCAGCTGGTGCGGCGCGCGAGTGCGGCGCCAACACCAGCCTCTGCAGGGACTCGCCCGCACCCTCACCACTCTATGACAAGACATAAATTAGTAAAAACATATTTTTACTGTCTTACTTTAGAATTAAATTTGCTTCCCACTAAGGAGTAAATATAATACACCAAACTACAATAAGAGTTATAATTTATAACTTACATTTGTAGCTATAACAAGTTTAATCTATAGTTGAACCGGGATAAACAGGAGTCTAAAAGACCACAATATTTTTTTCTGATTATCCATCTTCAACTGTACCATACCTGATTAGCATTAGATGGTTGTTCATCTCGTATGGCGCGCAACACACGGCGCACCATGTTAGTTGCGGCCAGCTCCTGCGGCAGCGCGCGGAGGATCTGACGCCCGACCGCACGAATTGTGCTGCATAACTCACTGGAAATGTTAATATTGTTGCTGGTTATATCTCACAAATACAATGTTGTAATTAAAATAGATGCATATGTTAAACTTCTGTTTGTACCTTGTTTTATTTTACACCTTGTTTTTTAGGATACACAGAAATTATACAGAAACTAGCTGTCACCCACAACCACATTGGCCCAGAATTAAAAAGAAACTTAATAAGTAGCCTAAATGGCCTTCCAGACTATGTTCTATACCTGTGCCAATAGTCATCAAGATCTGTTGAGCCATTTTTAAGATTTCTTGTAACAAGAATCTGTACATCCATCTATCCAAACATTTAAATTCTTATAAATATCAATGTTTAATATGATTATTTGTCAACGGTCTTCTGTTTCCCTATCTTGGTATTACACTGTTTGTGCCAGGCAACTTGTGCCATAGATGTTAATACAGTCTTTACCACTGTTAAAATTTTAGTTAGGAAATATATAAGTACATGTGAACAATACTTACAAGGCAGTAGGGTTTTGAGAATCACTTATGATCTGCTCCAAGAGCGAAACTGTAGACATTGCTATGTTTAAAGATCCCTCCAACTTTCTGTAAAATTTATATATAGACTTAAACATGTATTGATGGTATTCCCATTAACATTACATAACAGTAATAAACATTAATTTATATTTCATAGGTTTTAAAAACATG